CCAACGGACTCTCTTGTATCGATTTTAGAATACAAATCGCGAAACGCGAGATGCTTTTTTTTTTGCTGAACGTAAATAATGAAAAACTAAAAGGTTTCCTCTCACGAGATGTTACGTACGATTCATCGATATATGTTTCAGCAGCGAATATTTTGAGAAATTTGTTTCCTTTTTCTTCATGAAAATTTAAACCTATGCTTATCAAATCGATAATTTTCGAATGCAATTTAACATTGCAAAATTACGACGTCTCAAAAATAATTAAGACAACGTAAAAGTCTAAAAAATATTAAAACAAACTTTGTAACTTTTCAGGTATTCTTTAAATGTCTTTTAAACTTATCGAACAATTATATCTATATAATCCATCAATTATTTCGCCTTCGCAAATTTTAAACCGTGCATTATATTTTTTGCATCATTATATTCATTTTTTTGTGGATCAACTTATTCATCTATTTCTAATATCACGCTTTTTTCTAGTCTTGCTGCTATCATTTAGACAATCAAAATTGCCTAATAGCCTAATATCTTTTACAATTTTCATTTAAAAAAAAAAAAAAACGCTAACATCAAGATTAAAGAAACTTTCAAACGATTTTCTCTATTTGTTCCCATACCTGTTCCTGTGATTGGTGGTGACGTCAATTGCGAACTGCTTATATCCGGAGGTTGTTGTGTTTGTTGTTGTTGTTGCGGTTGTTGTTGTTGTGTTTGCTGTTGTTGCTGCTGCTGCTGCTGCTGTGGACTGTTTGCAGCGACGTGTACAGTGCCCGGACTCGCAGCGCTTTCAGCCATTTTTCGCGCAGAAATTTGCTTTCAGCAAAAATACGGATTATAGCATTTCTACGTGATAATTGTTGATGACAGCCTCCTTGTTGTTGCGTTGCGTCAAGGCCAGCGACAAGATAAAAATGAATGAACTGTCTAAATAGTCAGTCACTTTCTATATTGCTCGAGAAGTACAAAGTGCTTTGAGCTTCTATCCCATTATATTCTTGTCATATATAGATATTTGCGTATTTATTGCAGATTAGTGTCGATTTATTTACATCTATTTGTAACTGTTGAAATCATCCTCTGAACATTTCAAGGAAGATCTCTCTAAAGCGTCTTTCTTCTTGAAGCGCCCGATATTCCGTACAATTTTTGCGCTTCTTAATCTTTCGTTGTCGCTTGTGTTTGATTGATATTTATATTGGCGAGATAATGGCCTTCTATCTTCTTGCGTTCATTTAGATTGTCATTAACGGCTTGTATCGGTGCGCCACGCTTTTACAATATTTCGACATAACGCGCCAATGTCGGAGAGAATTTCGCTCTCGATATATGTGTCTTCGATCGATTTTTCGACAAATGCGACCAAACATTTGTTTTGATTCATCTTCGAGATTTAATCAATTTGCCCACTTTAAAAGATAAAGACAGAATGTGAATGTGATGTCGAAGTTTAAGAAAGACGGTTTCCGGAAGATCGTTCAGTATCACTGTACATTAAGGGAAATTTTCGAAATCACCATTTTTAACTTCAGGCATTTAAGGGAAGAAGCGTCATTTGCATTCCCGTAAACAAAGCGAGTGATTTTTTTATACCAAAAACAGGTGAAATCGAGATTCGGATCAAGAAGGAAGGAGCAATAACAAACATCAGGGAGGAAAGTATGAAACAGGGGTAGTTGGGGCGGCCTCGAGTGGCAGCCTGCCGAGTCGATAGGTCAGTGGGTCTCGTTCGGAGAGGGTCGCTTCGATTCAACCACGCGTTTCCTTCACGCGCAGCCTCGAAACAGCGAGGGAGCGTAGCGGTCGAAGTTCTTAGACCCGGCGCGAGTTCGATCTGTACGACCGACTGGAGAGATGAAGAAGCGCAAACACACTATCGTCGAAACACGAGAAACTTTAACAATAGTTTACCTCGAGAACAATCGATTATTCATATATATATGTAACAATTTTATAATTTTTTATTTTATATTCCCACGTAGAAATCGGTTTCTTTAACGATACAATAATTGTAACGATCGATTTTAACGATTGCGGCTTCAATAAAGTCGCGTCAACGAAGCACGTCACACAGGATAACGACTGATTTTTATTGGGAGTTTCGAGGAGAGAAATATTTAAAGAAGATGAATACGCTTGAAGACAGTTTCACCTTTCCACTTTTTTCTTCATTTACAAGTTGCATTTATCGCCAGGTTATTTACGATGATGTGATGTTTTAACAAAATTCGTTATTATTATAGAATCGTTTGATTTATGTCATCACGGTTGACTTGAGATAACTTGGATCCGATTCGAGGAAACGAGGAGGCTTCGCTTCAACGAAGGCGCTCGTGATCTCGCGCGATTGGTAGGTCGACAGGTATCCCTCGAGGATCCATGTCCGATCATGGTTGTCGGTTATCGGCTGGCCCTTTGCGGATATCATTTATTGAAGAGCATCGGATAGCCGATCGGGTCGAAGGAAGAACGATGAAGGAGCGAGGCGGTGCTCGCGACCTTCGACGATTAATTTGGCGGCTACGGTCGATATCTCGTCACCGGCCAGCAGCCTCGCACGCGATAAGATACTTTAGCACTCGCGACGAAACGCTACCGCCGCCGTTTCGTGATCGTTCCTCGAGCGCGGTTATCCGTGTCGCGATGTTCCTCCCCCGTTGACAGTTGCCGTCACGTCAATTTCGTCGATCACTGACATCCTCGATCGATCACCACACTGCCAAGGACGTCCACACCGCGAACCACTCGTCGTCCTCGCATATTCTGTCCGGTATCATCGACGGTATTTTCTGTCAGAATGTTAATGAAATGCGTTATTTCCGTTGACAATCAACAATTTTTATCGTCCTCTGAAGCGCTTCCTCGTATCTATATGTCAAATGTTTAGGTATTTGTACGATCATCGGCGAAACTTAATGCCGGGAGAAGCAAGTTGATGCACTTGAATGTTGTTGAAGATAGCATCAGAAAAGCACGACAGGCTCAGGGTTGATACGAGCGCCTCGTGGTTTCACGTCATTGTCCGTCGTGTTCACCGATGATGGAAGCGGAGGCTCGCAGCTCGCGAATGAAGGCACGTTACGTTTTTCGTTGGAAATCGCAAGCGAATCGCGCGCAGGATGAATGACTTTGCGTACTCCCGGGTTCGTCGTCGAGGAAGGAGCTCGTCGAGTCCTCGTCCCGGGCTCAAACCTTCCTACCTTCCTTCCTTCCTGCCTTCCTTTCGTTTCGGCGTTATGCACTTTGCGGGGCACCAGTGGCTCCTGCTTGCATCGACCGTCACCAGATGGCATCCGGGAACTTGACTCGTCCCCGAGCAGCCCCGTTGCGCCCCCGGAACCCTCGCCATCGCCACCCCGTCCGGATTACACTAGCTATAGCGAGGGATTTCGCTAGCTATAGGGAGGGACTTCCAATATTTATGACGCAAGTGAAAGGATTTTTCTCATGCTAAAGTCACTATTTAAGTTACGATGTAGAACAAAAAAGCCAGATAAATAAGAGGATAAAATAGTATAGGGGGAGCAATATGTATAATTATATAATATAATAAATAATTGATTGAATGAATGAATGAATGAATGAGTGAAAAGAAAAATTATTATTTATATTGATATTATTAATTGATTTCTATTTTTCATTTGAGTGTATTTTATCATTCTTAATGTTCTTAATGTTGTACAAGATATAACCGCATATGCGCGAATATACTCTATATTTATACTTTTTTATATCACATATAATTCACACATTTAATAATTCTTATTATATATATTTTTACGTTTTGAATACATTTTTCTAAGGCGATAGTTTTTTTATAAATATATTTATATTTAAAATATGATTACAAATATGATCGGATGTGTAATGAATGAATCAACTAGCGTAAAGCGGCCTTTGCGCGATTCGGAGGTGATACACCCTTGCGCATGTGCGACTCCCGCACGACTTCGCTACCCTTCCTTCGATCGCGTTACTAGCCCCGAGTTCGTTGGAGGATAGTCTTATCGGATAAACGATAGGACAGGCTGCGATACCGCCTGTGTCTGTTGTTTCTCCTGCCACTTCATCGCTATCATTTTCTCTTTCGATGACAGATACAATTCAAATATAGAGGGCAGCGATTCATATTATTTAATATTTAGTTTTCTATTAATAAATAATCGACGAGACAAGATGAGACGACATCAGCGCATTTGTCGAAAAGTATCGAAATTTTGAAATATTCTTACTATTGGAAAAATTGAAATTTTTGAAATTTGAAATTTTTGTTAAATAATTTTTCATTCTCATATACAAGATAATGATTTTGTTAAGTTAATATATTGCTATAATAATTTAAAAATAAATTTCTCTTCAAATGTATATATCAATAAATATATATACATATTATATATTGATATGTACATAAAAACAAATTACTCGCTTATAATTTGCGAAGAGATTAATGATGATAAAATCTTTTATTACTAGATTTTTTAAATCTCGACAGCATTTCTCTCTCCGTTTTCGCAAGTCGTTTCATATCCCACTACCGTTATCACGCACCCTTTCGAACGGATCTGCAGCTCGAGCGTGTCCGTTTCGCATTAAAACCGTCTCCGGGATGCGAATGGAGGGGAGCCACGCGCGAAATGATCCCTCTCCTCCGAGTCCTCGAGGAGGCTCGCATCGAGGCCCGACGCGAGAGCCGTTGCATTTTCAGAACGGTACTCCTAACTGTATCTCACATATGTGTGTATGCGCGTATATGCGCCGTGCCGCTCACCTGTCGGACAGCCGCGCGCACCGATCGCCGAATAACAGCAGCCGATGAACTCACCGCGCGACCGGTGCGGCCATTGATCAAAGGAGAATTGGTACATCTCGTTAGAAGCATGTATTGCGAAAAAAAACCGCTTTATTTCCGTCCTTATTATATTAAAAATTTTTCTTTCTCGGAAAATATTTATAATATTTCAAACTGGAACAAAAATTACAACAAATTATATTTTTATATATTATAAAAACAAGTCATAAATAGATGTATCAGAAGTAAAATTTTTTCATCAAATTTAGAGCATGTATATCTCTAATATTAAATTTTTTATTAAAATTAACACTTGCCAAAGTATGTACATGTATACGATACATGTAATAATTATTAACGTAAATTTGGAAAATTAAATTTTATGAAGATATAACATTTTTTTAAATAATGATCTGTGTAATTTTTTTTCTGTTTACAATATTATATCTAAATAAATTAAAGAAATTGCTCGTGCTCTTCGAAGAAGGATGCACGAGGAGAGAAACAACGGTTAGCAGATCTTCTACGCAGATATTTACGTATATGCGGGTCGCGTGTACGGACACTCACGTAATGTGGGCCCGTTTGCCGGAGATACCGTAAGACCTTGCGATGTTACGTCACAGCGATAGAGAACTGGCGTGGTTAGGAAGACGCACAAAGGACGACAGAGAAAGGGGTGTAAAGGAGAAAGGAAGGACTAACGCACTTCTCTCTCGTGCGGAGATGAACTCTGCGTGTTTTAAATTAGAATTCTTAACGCGCGTGGATAAATTCTATTTCTGTCCACATACACACGATGAAACGGTATATATTGTTGCGTTTGGCTTTGATCTATTTTTATCGGAAATTTATTGAAGAATTTAATTATCGAGATATTTCATATCTTGATATATCTTGATATATCTTGAATATTTTGAAATGTGATGAATAATTAAGCTATTATTAATAATATAAATTGAGAAAAATAATTTAATTTTAATAATTAATTAGTAGTAGATTGTTTGTTAAGCATAAGATAAGAGATTATGCATGCATATATGCATGTGTGTGTCAAAATATATACTACGAAGTATTAAATATTAAATAGATTTGATGAACAAAGCAGAAATTAAAAATTTATTTTAAAAATTGTATTTTAAATATCTCTTTCATTAAATTAAACCATGTTAAATTAAATTGGGTAAATAGAATAATCATTATTTTTTTAAATAAAGATAATATTTAAAAAAATATCTTTTAAAGAAAATTAACTAAAGTGCTTCAATGTTTTTTTTTTTTAAATGTGATTTAGATTGATTCGAGAAATAAAAGTAGGCACATACGGTTTCGAAATGCGTTTAGCGTCGCACGATTGAGTTCGTAAAAGTAAATCGGGCCAAAACAGCCGTTGACTTTCCGCATGAATCAAGGAGAGTGGGTTAGAATCATGGATTCCCGCTAGTTTTATACCGTTTGCCGTTAAGCTTTTCATGCGTGCGCGCGTGCGTGCGTGAGTACGATTTGCGGATGTTTGGCTTTATGCGAACCGATGCGTGTCCTGATAAATTCTCATCGCGTGCAACGAATCGCTCCCGTTGCGCTCGGTAACGAAATTTTTTCCATCAATCTCTTCCATTTAATTTTCTAATTTTTTCTCAAGTTTTATATAACAAGCACTTACCGTTCATTATAAATAAGAGTAATAAACTTGTAAACGAGATATTAAGTTATGTTAAAATTATATACTATCTATCACATGTCTCTTATATTTTTTTTAATAAACTTTTGGAGCACATTTGCTTAATTATAATTTTTTGATTATTCAATGGACTTCTCGAAATACAAATTTCTCAAGTACATTTTGATAAATTACAAGACAATATTTTTCGATTTATCATTTTTTGATTATTTTAGATCAATTGGAAAATTTATTCCCAAGATAATCAACTCTCTACTTTTCCAAATAAATATATCATAATTTTACAAATCTTATTTTTGACTATATATAATTTGGTTTATAATCTAAATTTTAAATAATGCTTAATAAAATTTTTTTTTAACTTTCTTGCAAGTTGATTTATAAATAGCTAGAGAATGTCTTTTACCGTTCGAATTGACGTACCGTTATCGTTCAAGAGACTTATTGTTTGGTCTTAGTCACTATTATCTTTTATATACAAAATCAAACGACGCGACGAGTCGACGCGACGAGTCAACGGACGAGTCAGCGCCGAGTGGCGCGATGCTTCGTTAAACGTTTTGCAAAATCGCTCTTGATCGTTCCTGCTGGCGCGAAGGCTTTGGTTAAAATCACCAGACCCTTCCACAACCCCCTCCGGCCCAGTCACCCCACCCCTCGACCCGGACCTCTCCTTCCCACACCCTCCGTCTGCCTGCCGGCGATCTGCGTCCACGTGTTTCTATCTGCGGTCAGTGCACTTTTGCTGCACGAACCGCGGCCGTTTACCGAAGGTCCACGCAACGCGACCGCGCTTAATAATCATCCTCTGGAGGATCGTCGACCCTGCGCGCCCGGGAAGAGCGCAAGAAAACAAAGCTAGCATACGGAATTCGGCAGGTTGCGCGGCAGGGGAAACGGTCGACGCATATTACGACACGTGCGATAATAAATGAACGTGGAATTTTGTTTGTCGGGATCGGAATGATTTCGAATTGAATATTGACAAGCTGGATTCATCGGAGCATTTAATTTCAATCGCTAGAAAAAATCTGAACGTTTTTGAAATTACTGAAAATTTAACGAGATTTAGAAAAATATTCTGGAGGACAACAGTTTTTCAAGTGTATCAATTTTAAATCTGAATGTATAAATAAACACTTTGTATTTTGTTTTGAATCTCTATCTCTACAAAGAGCTTTTATCTTTATCCTATAAATTTTTCATACATTACGCCAGTCCTTAATTTTTTACAAGCAATGTTTTTTTGCTCGATGCTTATTCTTATATAAATTTATTCATCTTTGTTTATATGTCTCACTGTGTTTTTATATTAATAAAGTATTTTATAGTCCTATAGATTATCATTATTTTAGACTTATTTTCTTGATATCATGGAATCAATAAATCCGTGATTATTTATGTACTTTTTGTTTCATAAATTTCTAATATATAAATCATTCAATCTCCTAGCTATCTCTTTCATAGTATGTCTTTATATTAACAGTACTACGGATCTCACAATACAGGTACAATGGATCTTCGTTTTATAGATCCTCTTTAGAGATCCCTTGATCTATGATTCTTCGATTCTTTGCGTATGCCTTCGGTTTCGTTCAATGATATCGCGGATTCTGCTTTTATCAGTTCGAGATAGAAACGATGTGTAAAGGCGGAAGTAAGGGAGGCCACGGAAGATCTTCGCCCGATAAAGGAATACGCGTGAGTTCCGGTCATTCGTCTCCATTTCGATACTCTCTGGCGCGAACG